ATGAGTTCCTCAAGTCTTGTTTGTTAGCAACGATCAGTACGGGGACTCCTTGATTTTCTGATATCCTCGTTATCTTATGAAGTTCGGTTTTGGCTTCTTCCATCCTTTCAACATCAACAGAGTCCACAACAAACACAATGCCATCTGTGCATCTGGTGTATGACTTCCAGAGCGGTCTTAATTTCTCCTGACCACCTACATCCCAGAAGTGAAAAGTGACTGTTTTGGAATTTCCCAAGGTTACCTTAATTTTCTCCGTGTTAAATCCTTTGGTGGGTACGGTATTGACAAACTCATTGAACTGCAGCCTGTATAAGACGGTCGTCTTTCCAGCACAGTCCAAACCCAGAATCACGATGTGGAAGGACTGAAATGAAGGCAGGCTGGACAGGATAGACGTCTGGTCTGACAGTCCATTCCCCATTTCCAGCTGCGAGTAAGGGTCCCAAGTGGAAACGCTGTTCTGATTGCTTTAGAACTTCTCTTCTCTGCGGATCCAGCTACAAGACGAGCTGGCCGTCCGTCCCTCGGTCTCAGCCGCCCGGGAGTCACCACGACAGCTGTCCGGGGGCACTCGGGCGGGAGCAGGGCCGAAACGCCGCCGCCGGGGCCGCCGGGCGGGCGCCACGCACAAAACCATTTTTAAAGAAAACCAAAAGTGTGTTATAGAGTTATGTTTTTCTGCTTGTGATTTAAAGTTGAGCTTTGTTGATTCTGACATCATTTTGAATTTAATAGTCATTGAAAAGAAGAAATACCTAGGAATAAATATAAGTGGATGTAACCAATTTTAATAAAATGAATTTTTCCAGATTACTGCAAAGTATCTACTATAAAGTCATATTAATATTTATAAAACATTTCCCTCATAATAAACATTATACACATGTTTATTTATTTATAAATATACAATATTTCTATATTTATAAAACTAAACATATTTATACGTATTTATAAATATAAGTACATTTAAATAGGAGCATTATATATTATAGATATATACACTATACATTTAAGATATAATATATATTTGTTAATACAGTTTACCTTGAATACAATTAATATTAAATATCTTCTATCTTAAATCAAACTGGTTTTTTACAAAATAATTCTTTTTTTTTTTTATTCAGAGTCTCACTGTGTCACCCAGGCTGGAGTGCAGTTGCACGCTGCTCAAAGTCATTGCAGCCTCGACCTGCTGGGCTCAGGCGATCCTTCCGCCTCAGTCTTCCAGACAGCTGGAACCACAGGCATGCACCATCACACCTGGCTAATTTTTTGATTTATTGTAGAGACGAGGTTTTGCTATGTTGCTCAGGCTGGTCTTGAACCCCTGAGCTCAAGCAATCCTCTCGCCTCCACCTCCCAAAGTGCTGAGATCACACACTTGAGCCACAGTGCCGGCTGTACAAAATAATTCTGGCGGAAAAATAAATAATGGAGAGAAATATAGCATGTACATAGAACTTCTAACTTTACTTGTGTTGAGGACTTTTTAGACAACTTCTTCAATATAATTCAAAAACAGCATATCTTGATTTGCTATATTGTCTTTCTGTTATGTCATATCTCTTTATGTTTTTTCTTTAAAAACAAAAACTTTAGAAGACACATAAGGTTTTAAATTTTTTCTTTTGAATTTTCATGAAAAGGAAAAATTTTAAATGCATGTAAGTGATAAATTAACGCAATAAGACCTCGTTCTTGGATTTAGTGCTGACATGGTCTGTTAGCACTTTCTGTAGAGTCATTTTTGTGCATTTTTAATTGTGGAATTTCTTGAACTTTCTTTCTAGTTCTTGCTACCAACTGGATAGCCTTCATATTGCTTAGTCTGTCTATATAAAGTGGGGTTCAAGTGGGTGAGAAAATCTCTTCAGAATTTCTTAACAAAGCAGAAGTAGTACAGTAGGGGATTTTTTGCACTTAAGAAATCTTTTTTAAACTTGAAATATCAGTCTTTCGCCTGTGCAAGTTTTATTTTTTTCAATTGTTATTCTATAGAGTGTATAAAATCCCAAACCATCCTGTATCCCAGTGTTCTGTATCTTAATCGTCTCCCTGTCCATTTGTTATGATTTAGTTTCTTATATACTCAACAACCTTTATCCTCCTACTTTTTCCTATTCCTAGAAGACCCTAAGGTCTGTCCTCTGGCAAAACCCAACAGTTCACAGAACACCCCACACCTTTGTAAATCATTTTCTCTGATCAGAGTTCCTGTTTGCTTTTTGAAAAATACTAACCATTATTTATAATTTAGCATACATTTTAAAAGTAGCTACTATTTATTGGTGTTTGCAGTGTCTCAGGATGTTCCAAGCACTTGTCTCATGCATTAAATCCTCTAATCCTAAAAAAAAAAAAAAAAAAAATCCGTTGTACATACCTTTATTATCTTCTTTCTTCAGTAAAGGAATTTAAGGCACAGAAATGTAGAGTTACTTTCCAAGGTCACACAGCTAGAATATAGACCACAGTCAAGATTTGTAATCAGACAGTCTGCCTCCATAACTTGTGCTTTTACCAACTATTATTAATGAAACTAACTTTGTAAAACTTCCTTTGGCACCACAGGACAAGTTGATTATATTGTGCTCTGTTGCCAGTTCCATTAAACCTTCTTTACGTACTAAATACATTACAACTGCCCCCCGATTCTTGCTTTTGCTTTCCGAAGTTTCGGTTACCTGTGTTCACTTGTGGTGGGAAAACATTAAATGGAAAATTCCAGAAATAAGCAATTCATATGTTTTAAATTGCACGCTGTTCTAAGTAGAATGATGAGATCTCACACCATCCTACCCCCATCCCACCTGGGATGTGAATCCTCCCTTCGTCCAGTGTATCCAGGCTGCCCAACCTCCTCATCCTTGAGTCATTTAGTATCCATCCATTATCAGATCGACTGTCAGTATCCCAGAGCTTGTGTTTAAGTCACCCTTATTTTACTTAATAGTATGCCCGAGATGCAAGAGTACAGATGCTGACAATTTGGATATGCCAAGGCTTTCCCTTAAAGTGATTCCATTAATTGAAATAATAAAAGTTTTTTACTTAATAAGGAAAAAAAATCATATGCTGAAGTTGCTGAGATCTATGGTAAGAACAAATCTTCTGACCGTGAAATTGTGAAGAAGGAAAAAAAAGTCATGCTAGTTTTACTTTCGTACCTCAAGTGGTGAAAGTTAAGGCCACAGTATATGATAACTTTTATTACAATATATTGTTATAATTGTCCTATTTTATGTCAGGTACTGTTGTTAATCTCTTACTGCCTAATTTATAATTTAAGCTTTTTATCATAGGCATGTTTGCATAGGAAGAAAACAGTATGCATAGGGTTTGGTCCTATCCTCATTTCCAGGCATTCACTGGGACCCTTGAAATGTATCCCCTGCCAGTAAGGGGGGACCACTGCATTATTGTGGTGCTTTTCTTTCTGAATTGTGCGTAACAGGATCTATTTCCCAATGCTTTTGTTTCAGCCTTTTACATATTTTATATTTAATCATTGCCTTTGTAGTATTTAGCAGACCACTTAGTGATAAGAAAGTGTGAAATAAAGGTTTCTTGGATTAATGAATAGATAAAAATAGACAAAAGTCCGCTTTTATCCACAGTGTATGTTCCAAGACCCTCACTGGGTGCCAGAAGCCATGGATAATACTGAACACTATACATATATGCACAGTAAAATATGAATAATAATAATAATAAAATGCAACAATCATGATAATATATTGTAATAGAAGTTAATTGAATGTGATCTCTCCCAAAATATCTTAATATTTTTATCTGTGGTTGATTGAGGGTAACTGACCCACAGAAGACAGAATTGCAGATAAGGGTACTGCAATGAATGAATGAATGAATGAATGTAATAAGCACTACCAAGAAGTAGGATATGAGTAAACTGCTGCTATCGAAGATAAAAAAGTGTACTTGTAATGGTGGCAAATACCAGTTAGAGCAAAAAGTAGAAAGAAAGCCATGGTATATGGTCTACAGTTCAAATGAAATTGCATTACTGCTCTGAATAAAAGATATCGATTTCTTTTTACTTGTTCACCAGATATAACAGAGCTATGAAAAAAGAATCTTTTACAGCTCATTGTCTGTTTTTGTCAATGTAGATAAAAGCAACATGTGTATCCAGTGATAAGAATCTTCTAATATATTTAAAGACTAACATTCTCTTTAGGTAACAACTATCTTCTCTATGACTTTTCACACTTTTTTTTTTTTTTTTTGCTTTTTGTCTACTAGGTTGTTTATCTGCTTTTTGGTAGATTTTACTTGGAAAGTTCTACACGGCAGAGCTTATTGGAACCCTTCTGACCTCGTGGCCCACCTGAACTTTCCTCCCCCATTGTCCCTGGGACTCACTTCTCACCTTCTTCTGCATTATCCTCAGAAGTCATCTCTTCTGAGAGGCCTGCCCTTACCATCATATTTAAAATCACAACACCATGGAAGCACCCATATGATCCTATTTTAATGTTCTCAGTCGGTACTCCTCGTCTAGTATACTATATCACTGAATTATTTTTTATGTTTTTATTTCTTGTCCTCAAGAATGGAATCCTCACAAGAGCAGGGATTGCTGTGCATTTATTTCCAGGAATCCAGAACCTATAACAATGCCTGGCATTGTAGGCACTCAAATATTTGTTGAATGATTGAAGAATAAGGAATTCAAGATCTAGTTTCTCTTAAAGAAATATGCCTCATACAAAATGACCATATTAAAATAAGACCTTGGGAAAAGTTGCGAGAAAGATGTAAATGTTAGATAATAAATTGGAACTGGGCCACACCTGTGCATTGACCCTTGGTCTATCCACTACCTGAGTGCCAGTACTTAGCCAAATCTCAGAGACAGTAGCAGAAAATAAGCCAAACTCTGCCCCATGACCTACATTGTCCTGCACAATCTGGCCTCAGCCACCTCACTATCTCACCTTGTTCCATCTGAAGGAATGGCTTAAGTGTTCATGGCTTGTTTTTATTTATGATTATACATTTACTCAGACTTGGTTGAAGACTTTAGTCCTAAGAACGTGGTTCTTCGCAGATCAAATTGAAGTTTTCTGCTGAATGAAATATATACTTATTTTTACAAGATGTACTGGAAGAGAAGTGATAGTTGACACAATATAGTCATCTGGCATTTTGATTGATGATTTGGGGAGCAAATTCTAAGAAGCGGTGATAACTGGAGATAAATATATTTAGCATAATTTAATAATAACCTGGTTTGCACGTTTTTGTCCATTGGAATAATTACATAGATTTATTTTTTATGCTTTTTACATTATTTCAAGTTTTTTTTCCACATTAGGGTGCCACCTGTCAAAAATGTTTGTGCTGAAAAAGGCCACTTGCTGAGAGAGTGTTTTTGATTTATTCATTGGTGCCGTCCATATTCATGGATAGCTCTCCTTGGAAAGTTGGGGAGGACACTGATTTTTATTTGTAATATATAATAATTTAATATTCATAATCATATGACTATATGAC